GATCCAACAGGAAAACAGAACAGTTTCTCCAAGGATTGGCTAGTTTGACAAGCAGCAATATAGTAAACAACCGCAAATAAAGAGGGAAAAGTATTTTTTGCTTAAAAAATACCTGAGTAGGAAAATATCTGATGACATTGGCTTGGTTACCTCTCCAGAAAGAGAAGAGACCTTCGTCTCTTAATACCCTTTTGAAGCAATCACCAACACCATTGTAAGGTTGATGAAGCTGTCCCCTTTTTATCATCTCCCCTTGATTTTGCAACAAAAGCTTCACTCTTTCAATGGGTGCTGCAGTGCTCTTTGATACTACAGCTGCCATTCCAGCCATCACAAAATCCATTGAAAATTTCTCTGATTTATGCTTGCCGATTTCCATCTTTTCTCTAATCTATCCCTCTACAAGTGCCAATATAAGAAAAAGCCCATAAATTTCCATTTAACAAATAAACTAACCAGAAAAAGAAACATCCATATCACTCAACCATAAAAAAGAAGACGTAAAATTGAGCAATCCAATGAGTGTTTACAGAAATTGAAAAATTGGAATTGATAGAGAAGGAAAGAGAAAGGAAAAAAACCTGTGGAATACGGGAATTGACGGATCAATATTCGGACACCAGAGAGATAGAAGAGAGGTAAGGATGCTGAGAGGAGGAGAAAGATTTCTGTTCGGATTCCTTGAACTAGGCAATTTTGAGCGGCAGCGGTTTGTTCTAATGAAAAAGAAAGATAAATGGGAAATTGCTATGGCGTCCGTTATATTTTCAAAAATTGCAAATATCTCCTTAAATAGGAAAATTTATCAATCTCTACCTGTTTCACAGTGACTGAAATTTCTGTAAAAATTCTTATTCGAGTACAGCTGTTCTGAAAAGTTTAGTAAAAGAAGTTAAATTAGTATCCGATAATTCAATGCACAGAAGAACTGTTATTCGAGTAAAATTGTTCTCTAAGTTTTGTAAGAAAAGTTAAAATAGTATTTGGTAAATTAAATGTAAAACTGTTGTAAAACACTATTTAATAATGTTTTAATTTATTTTTAATACAAATTAAAACACTTAACTCTAACAAATTAAATCATAAGTTTCAAAGTGAATGAAACAGATAAAATATAAATAATTTTATCAATTAAAAATAAAAAAACAAATTAAAATCAAAAGAAAAAAATTAAATTGTTTCTCTCTATAATTTTATATATTATTAAAAGAAAAAATAAGAATACAAAAAAAATTTCTTTAAATTATGAAACTACAAATTAGTACTTTTTGAAAAAGATTTGATTTATAAGTTCACCCCACGTAAACTGAAAACTAGAAATTGTAAAATTTTGAGAATCAAACACTTTACTTTGGTTTTTGTAGTAAAAACGATGTTATGTCGGGTCAAAACTAATTGGTTTTTCCACAAAGTAAACTAACAAAGCGTGAAAACTTAATTTTACGGCATTGGAAAAATTTCATTACAGATCTAATTAGTAGAAGATATACTATGAAGAGTTCCATCCATGGGAGTGAGTTTAACTTTATGCTCTAAGGGAGTAGATAACGTCTTGCTTTTGTCACGGGGCGATTCTTAAGACCACTCTCCGTGCGGCCTTGGGCTCAACCCTTATCTCGGTACTAGAACCCAAGTCAACCTCAGTGCTTCAGCACTTACTCAGCAAGCACCCAACTCCCACCCGATGGCTTTAAGCCTGCAAGCAAGCTTGCATAAAAGAGAAAGGAAGACAAGAGAAATACTAGCAAAGAGAAGCTAAGCTTGTATTGAATGAATTGAATTACAATGTATTCAATGGGATGATTTACACAAGGAGCATGGGGTTATTTATAGCCAAGGTTCCCCACACATTTCCCTCAAAAGCTTTCAATTCAAAGTATTCCCCCCCCAAAATATTTCCCTCCAAAACATTTGGGAAGTTCTAAAAGTTCGGTTGGGAGGGAAAATTTGAATTTTCCAGCAGCCCTTCTAGAAGTTCGATTGGGAGGGAAAATTTGAATTTTCCAGCAGCCCCCCTTACATGGGTCTAGTGGGTTGGCACCCTCTTGGGCCTCTTGGCGGGTCTGGACTGTGTCACCTTTTGGGCCTCCTGACGGGTCTGGACTGTGTCACCTCTTGGGCCTCCTGGTGGGTCTGGACTGTGGCCTGGTGGTTTTATTTTGAGTTCAGATGGTGCTTGTAAGTCGAGTTCGAGATGTGCCTCTGCTGGGGGCTTGATTCGTGGTAACATTGGGGTCACACAGTTTGGCAGCTGAGCTTTGGGGGGTTTGGCAACGAAACGAAGGCTTCTTTTAGTCTATCCCATATTAAAAGAAACGCCTACATCTTTTTGTTTTTTGGATTTATTAAATAAAGTGTCATGACAAAATTAGTTCCTTCACGTGTCCTAATTTAGGGTGTTTCTATAAAATAGTTCACATGGCTTCATTTAAAAGGTAGCTTCTTATGGTCTTATACATGTGGGGTTTGATTTCACAAGAAACTCCAGGGTTTTAAATTGTTCTTTATTGTTATTCATTTCAAATTAGTAAGGGCCCTTGATCCTCACTCTTGTCACATGCTACAAATGAAAAGGGTATATGAACCCAACCATTCAACGTGCAAAGGAGTCAAGAATGTTTGCTTTTAGTATGGGATAACACGTGATTTATTATTCGCAAGCCCACATAACGTTTATCATCTCACCAGAGCATTTGTGTTATAAAAAATAAATCTTAGTAAAGTGAAACTAATCATTAATAAATATTAAAAATAGTGATAATCACTCACAAATTATGTCAAAATGAATAATCTCAAAAGAAAAATAAAAAAATAGTACTAAATGACAAAGTGGTCTATTTTGCAAGCTGATAGTTTAAATAATAAAAAGACTCAAATTTTATAAATCCTCATAACCCCTAAGAAATTAAACAATGAAATTTACTTGTTGAATCATGACCTAGATGAAGATGTCACTGACACAAAGAAGAACTAGATAGTCACAACTGTCACATGTTTCATAAGCATAAGGAAGGAGACCAACTTAAAACATTTTTTCCCACCTAGCAACATGTCTTAAGAATCATTTTTGTCTGTAGATCTTGTACGTGACAACCAGAGAAAGAGAAATTAACAACAATGCCTAGATCGAATAAGTGACACAATAAGTATAAAAAAAAAGAAGCTACAATGTGAGTCAAAAACATGTCCAATGTAAGTGATATTTATTTTTGCAACATTTGCAATATGAATGGGAGGAAGAGACGAAGTGGACATTGTAGTGGATAAGAGAGAAGAATTAGGAGTCATATGATGGCAACCAGTAGAGTCAAAGAAACTAAAGAGATAACAAATGCTCTGGTGAGATGATAAACGTTATGTGGGCTTGAGAAACAGGAGAAGTGAGTAGAATACCACAAGGGAGAAGTTAGAGCAAATGCTAGAACTGAGAAGGTGGACCAAATGGGCATTAGGGCAGAGACAAACCCCGTAGTAACCAACAGAATTGACATCCTTTGCTTTGTGCAGCTTGGAACAACTGCATGTGAGATATAGACAGTAGCATGATGAATGACTTCATAATATGTCTCACATTGTACCGATTATTTGACCAAGAAAAATGGTAATTCTTTCTTGCTTCCCTTGAAACAAATGCTCTCATTTGTCAAAAAATGGTAATTCTTTCTTGCTCCCCTTGAAACAAAAGCTCTCATTGTCATTGCCATTGCTGACAAATAAAGCTGTGCCCTCAGAAGATTTTAGCCGCGGATTCATGAACACAGTTTAATTTAATTATAAACCGGCTAAGGGGGCAGGGTAAGGATGGTAGTGTACTGTCAAATTAAATATGTTCATCTTTTGCTCTAATATTTTGCACTTGGCAAGGAGGTATAGACAGAAAGAGATGTTTAATTTAGTCATATTACGTACTACTGTATCCTATTAAAAATTGATAAAATAAAGCCTTTCATTCATTAAGTTGTAGCGTACGAGCATGCAAGAAAGGTCACAATATATCTAGTTTGTACCGACAAGGAAAAGTCATAACAATAATTCGATATTTAAACTATGATAAGACGAAAACTTTTGCAACCACCAATATCTCCTAGCACTCTCCACTCTCTTCACTCTTTCTCTCTAATTTTTCTATTAGATAGTCAAGCAGCATTAATCAAACAACAACTGCTGTCATATCAAATTTGCGTTTGAAATTTCAAACATTTGACTGCCAGAAAAAAAAGTCCATCTATTATTATGTCACTATCATCTGTTTGATGAGGACAACAAAAGTTTAGGAGATACTGGTTTGAATTTGTAGGAAATGATCAACTAGACAATGCAAGATATGAAGAGGAAAAGGTAAGAAAAAAACCAAAATAATCAGAGCCAGAAACTTGTTTCAATAAAAGCGAAAACCTCACCATATTAAAGTCTAAATGGAAGCCCCAGTCAAATATTTTATGTGTTGGAGCCCGAAGCTTTGGCTTAAACAACAGGCACAGGTGCAAACAGATCTGCGAGTTGCAAGTGCAAAACCGACCCTTTTGCAGAGGTCCTTTAATAAAGTGAATATTAACTATTAGAAAAAATAAAATTACTGAAATACACCAGCCTATCATGCATAATATACAGAAGTACACATTAATCTATCGTCAATAATGAATAAGGTACAAAACAAGTTAAAAAAAAAAAAACAGAAGAAAAATACCCTTCATTTCATTGCTTTAGCTATTTTTTTCCAATTATTTTATTGCCATAATTTTCTTGTTTTGTCTTATTCTATCTTTCATTGTCATGTGAAAATGTTATAAAACACTTCAATAATTAACCTTAAAGAAGGTAAAATCTAAACATTTTCATGAAAGGTAACTTGCATTTTGTGTTGTGAGGCATTAGTACAAGCAAAACCATAACGGTTCCTATCATGAAAAAATGTAGTGAAATATTCACCTGCAATTTTCGTTGACTTATAAAAGGCAACTAACTGAAATGAAATAAACTCCAAAGTTTTGTATATAGTAGTAAGCTACAGAGCCGAAGTAGAGAATATTACAGGCATTCAACCTAGCAGAGATGGTAACAAAAGCTTCAGCCCATCACATGACCTCATGTGCTGTCCCTTCCTTTTCTTGTTTCGTTTCCCTCTCTTCACATCTCTAATCCAAAAAAAAACCCAACAAGACCCGAAATAACAATCTTCTCCCTGGTTAAAATCTTTGTTCTTTTCCTCTTCTTAGCGATTCATGCAAAGGCAACAAAACGCAGATCCCACCACCGTCAGTTATTATAGGATTCTCATTCACATCCCAAAAACAACCCCAGAAGTTTTTCCTTTATTATTGTTCGTTATCTTTATTTGTTTTATATGTTTACAGCTTTTATACAGTGAAAGAAAGAGTGGGGAGTGATTATATATAATTTCTTTCGAATTGTTTTTTTATATCGCATCTGAAGAAATGGGTAGTGCTGGAATCTTGATTTGGTGGTGAATTGTGGGGGATATTTGGTTCAAAGATGCGGCGGCGGGCTGCCGATTACCGGCGCCCGGTTCGTAGGAGGTTTTCGCATTGGATCTGTGCGCTGCTTGGGCTGTTTGTTCTTGCCGTATTGGTTTTATTTATTGTTCATCATAATCAACATGAAGATCGGGTTGAGCAGACTGTTAATGTAAGGAACAGACAACTCATGTCCTGTTTTTTTTTTCTCTCTTCACTTTGATGTTTTAGTTTTGATCTGGTATTAGTTTTTTTCTCTGATTTTGTTTATGTGCGTTTAGTTTGTTATTGTTGCTAGGGATGTTGATAGGATTGAAAATTTTTCTTTTTTTTTTTTAATGGAACTTTTGGGGGTTTGATACAAACTAAAGAAATGAGAAAAAGGGTCTTTCTTGTATTTGGTTAAAATGGTTATTGATTGAGGTTTTGAGAGTTCTGGATTGATTGTTGAGCTTGGATTTTAGCATGTAATCCGTGATACTTAGTTACTTTAATGTATTTATATATGTAATCTGGGATAGATAGTTGCTTTCATGTATTAATTTACATGTAATCTTGCATTTGCATTTTTAAGTTGAGTTACAGTAGTTATAGTGGATTTCTTATTAGAATTTACAGGGATATTATGTTCATGGTATTTGGATGTCATCAATTGAAGAACGCAGATAGACTTTTTCATTCCAACTCTTGGTTTCAAAACCATTGATATATTGTTCTGTGTGGTTTATTTTGTGAGTTGAATAGAGCCTTCAATGTCTTAAGCAAGGTGGATAATTTTTATTCGTCCATAGGATATAAAACCATAGAGTTTATATATGGTTCACAAAAGGTTGACTGTGAAACATTTATGCATGTTCTCTCTTTTTAGTATTACTGTTGATTCAAAGACTTTTTAGCTATGCTTGGTATCATATTATCTTAACTTGGTCATGGATTGTCTATTTAAATGAACAATCCCGTGTGATCAAGTTGGAGCTTAATCCTCAGTAACTAAGGTTTATGGTCGGTACCCTTCTGAAATTAATTTTCACAGGAATACACTGCAACCTAGCTTAATGAGATTACACTATGCAGCTTAACCAGCCTTTATTAAGACCAGATTTTAACAATATACTTAAATTTCAAAAGCTTATGCAGAAGTGACAACAATAAAAGGTATTTTAACTGTCAAATTTACAGGAACTTCCTGTACACCTCTTCTTTGATAAACACTAAGTAAAAACCTTTACTCCCACAATTTCTTGCGGGGATTAGTTTCGGTGATGGATAATTAGATGTCTGCAACCTATTGACACATTACTTAATATTTTCTGTCTCTGTGTGTATACATGCTTTTGCACGAAACAGAATTTTTTCTTCTTTCTTCTTAGAATTCTATTATGGAGGGAAACCATATGATAAATGCTAAAACTGTCGAAAAGAGAAATCTTCTTACCTTAATAAGGCATTTTTCGTTGAAATCTTTGGTATTTCCATATGATTTATAGATTTACAGGCACATGGTTTTATATTTTTGGTTTATGGAAGTCCTATGATTTGAAAATAGGATTCTTGGTTTTGCAATTCAATTCTTTATTTAGCATAACTGCAACTTCATAGAGAAGTTCTAATGATAAAGGTGCAAACTAGATAATTGGAGGGAGAGGAATAGAGAAATTTTTTGAGTTCATTACCATACTAGTCATGCAGCTGCTTATTTGCTACCTCTGGAAACCATTATCTAGCACTACACTACACCTCCCAGCACTGTGCTAGCAGTAAAGTGGTTCTGCTACTACAACAGTTTATAGTTTTTGCGTTTTCCGCCACCTTCATAAATCTGTCATTACTTTGACATCACGGCTAGCAGCAACTCTTCAACTCTCCAACTCAAGTTGGCATCCTATTTACCCACTTCCATTTTCCTGAATAAGCACACCCTGTTAGTTTGTTCTTGTTGATCAGTCAAGGGCATGCTCTTTCAGCAAAACAGCTGAAAAGGAAAAAGATCTAGTACTTGGTGAAATGGAAAATGAATATGTGGCTGAAATTGCCCTGGTTACTCTTTAAGACCAGAAGGAAGAAAGAGGTGGAATATCTATATCTTCTATGAAACTTGAATCAGATTTTCAAATTGCAATAATAATCTTTGTGCTATTGGGAAATCATTCTGATGAAGTTGGATTCATATGCTAGATCTAGGTGGTGCAATCTGTTGTTCTTTTCTGTAGTGCTTCTGCACTTCTTATTGTGTCTTCCATCTTTCTGTCTTTTAATATGATATATGATATGGATATGATTAGCCCCCAATTATAAGTAATTGAAGGTTAACTGATTAACTAGTATGCTATATAGCTTTTTTTCTTTTAAAATGATTATTGGATGACTTACTCATCCCTGAAATTCCCTCTGCCAGGAAGAAGATTCAAGAATGGAGCAGGTTGTTCATGAGAATTTAAACTTTACTGAAGAAATATTGAGTGCTACCTCATACTCTCGGCAGTTGGCAGAGCAAATGACACTTGCCAAAGCTTATGTCATAATTGCAAAAGAGCACAATAACCTTCACCTTGCTTGGGAGCTAAGCTCAAAGATTAGGAGTTGCCAGCTTTTGCTTTCAAAAGCTGCAATGAGAGGGCAGGCCATTACACTAGAGGAAGCAGAGCCGATAATTAGCAGTCTATCGTCTCTTATTTATAAGGCACAAGATGCTCATTATGACATTGCAACTACAATAGTGACGATGAAATCTCATATTCAAGCCCTTGAAGAGCGAGCTAATGCAGCCACTGTTCAGAGTACTGTGTTTGGACAATTGGTGGCAGAAGCATTTCCCAAGAGTCTTCACTGCCTAATTGTCAAGCTCTCAGCTGATTGGCTTAGAAGGCCATCCCTTAAAGACCTTGCAAATGAGCAGAGAAACTCTCCTCGACTTGCGGACAACAATCTCTACCACTTTTGCATATTTTCAGACAATGTCCTTGCAACCTCAGTAGTAGTTAATTCTACAATTTCCAATGCTGATCATCCTAAACAGATAGTTTTCCATGTTGTCACCAATGGGGTTAGCTATGGAGCTATGCAGGCTTGGTTCCTTAGCAATGACTTCAAGGGGTCCACTGTAGAGGTGCAGAACATAGAGGAGTTCTCTTGGTTGAATGCTTCTTATGCTCCCATTATAAAGCAGCTACTTGATGTAGATTCACGGGCCTACTATTTCGGGGAAAATCAAGATTTGAAAGTTGAGTCAAAATTGCAGAACCCTAAATATATTTCCTTGTTAAATCACCTTCGGTTTTACATACCAGAGATCTATCCACAGCTGGAGAAGATAGTATTTCTTGATGATGATGTTGTTGTCCAGAAAGATCTAACACCTCTTTTCTCATTGGATTTGCATGGAAATGTAAATGGGGCGGTGGAGACTTGTCTTGAATCATTTCATCGTTATTACAAGTATCTCAATTTCTCAAATCCGGTCATCAGCTCTAAGTTTGATCCACAAGCATGTGGATGGGCATTTGGCATGAATGTTTTAGATTTGATTGCCTGGAGGAAAGCAAATGTCACTGCAAGATATCATCACTGGCAGGAGCAAAATGCTGATCGGACACTATGGAAACTGGGAACTCTTCCTGCCGGTCTTTTAGCATTTTATGGGCTCACAGAACCCCTTGATCGGAGATGGCATGTGTTAGGATTAGGTTATGATCTTAACATTGACAACCGCCTTATTGAGAGTGCGGCGGTTGTTCACTTTAACGGGAACATGAAGCCATGGCTAAAATTGGCAATTGGAAGGTACAAGCCTCTATGGGAAAGGTACATAAATCTGAGCCACCCATATCTCCAAGATTGTGTCACAAGTTAAAATGTGCTATTTTTTTTGGTTATTGTTAGTAATTTATGTGATAGTCAATGATATAAACCCATAAGGCTGATCAGGTTTATTTGTAGAGTCGGAAATGAAAATTTTGACTTTGTTAGGAGATTTTAAATTTCTTTTCTTTATTTTTTTAATCTTAGTTTTTCTTTTTCATTATAGTTTCTTGAAAGGAAAAGAAAGATTTTTATACAAGATAAAGTTTGAAAGGTGAAGAGATGTGGGAATTTCATTTTTGGCTGATGGGAATTTCTTTTTCCCCTCAAGCAAACTGTAGGAATTATTTGTTCTTTACCAATTATTGTAATAATCTCTCTGCTCTTTTGGATTATATGTTGTAGCTGAATCCCTATAATATTCACTCCGTGTTCTTGTTATGTCATACCTGAACCACTTTACCAGGTCCATATTTTGAGATGGGTTTCTTTGAGGTAAAATGCATAGAAAAAACAAAGGTTAATCATCATTGCAGTAAAAGCTTTGTTGGCATATATCAAGTTGGTGAGTATAAATCGGATTCGTTTCCTTGAGAAGGTGAACGTATCTTGTGTTCAAAGACATGGAATTTGAATTTCCTTATTCTAAATAAATAAGAAAAAACGCTGGTATATATTAAGTTTTCCTGTATTTCGTCGCCATTTGCGTGGTAGCTGCCGTTGATTAGGACTTCAAGAAAAAACTATCGCTTTCATAAATGCCTGTATTATCGAGATGATACAGACAAGAAAAACCGGGTTCGTTGGCACTTAATATTTTGAAAAGTGAGCTAATTGATGGATGATTGGTGGTTAAGAGCAGAAGCAAAGCAGTAATTTTCCTTTTTCAAAGCTTTACAAGAGTAATTTTCCTTTCCTTTTAAGTAATCTTTTGTACCAAAGAAGTAAGAGTATATTTTTTGTAATATACTTAATTAAATTATACTGTAATATTTATTTATTAATAAATTACTATAATGTATGATTGTAATATAATCATATTACAATTTTTGCATGTAATATGATTACAATTCAAAATCAATATAATCAAATTGCATTACGTTTTGAAGTGTTGTTAAAGATATTTTTACTCTTCAATTAAAAATATTCTATAATGTTATAATTTAATTTTTTTATATAAATTTTAAGAGATGTCTCTTTATTACTCTCAATAATCATTTTGGATAGTGGATGGTAATGGTTAATAAAATTTATATTATTTTTTTTAAAAATAAAATAAAATAAAATATATAATATAAAAAATATATTTAAATAAATATTAAATATAAAATTATAATAAAAAATAAAAATAAAATATATGATATTAAAATATATTTAAGAAATAATATTATATAAAAATTAATAATAAAAAATATAAGTATATTCAATTTGTATTTTAATAAATAAGAATTATTTTGAAAATTGATATTACCTTTTTTGTAAAATATTTGTAATCAAATGTTACAATATTTTTTTTTATATTTTAATCATAACTTTATTTATATATTAAAAATTGTAATGTTATTTGCATTACAATGACATTATTTTCAATCAAAGTAAAGTATCAATATTTTTTTAATTGTTTTTTATTTTAAATTTTATTTATTTATTTATTTATTATAAATAAACAATCTTTAGAACGCAATTATTATCTCTTATTATCTCCACCAAGACCCCACCTTAGATTTGCGAATCACCAGGGGACCTAACTTTTCGATCTTGTCGACAATTAAATATTGTCCTCCTTACCCTACAAATTATGTTTATACTCAATATTGGTTGCTTATAGGATTTGCCTACTGTAAAGAACTAGTCAAGAGTAATTGCCATCAAATGGTATTGTTGCCTTCTCTCAATCAGGCCACACCCCAAGCCTAGATACAAAACTCAAACCCCAGTTTTGATATGGCTGCCCATTTGCTCTCTCCGAAACTTGATAACCCCAGCACCCAAAATAAGCGAGAAGATGCAAACCTTTCATCAGAAAGTGGTGCCATTGAAATGGCCTACCATAAGAAATATAGAGAAATACTCCCAACTCTCCCAATAGGCAAAGCTTGGATGATCACTGAACATCTAGTTCAATACCAAGGTTCTTGGCTTTCGCCTAACCTTGCCTTGAAAGGTATCATTTGGATCCAAGATGAATTCAAGGTTCAACCGACTGATATATTCTTAGCTTCATTTCCAAAAACTGGCACCACATGGCTCAAAGCACTTATTTTTGCTACCATTAACCGAACCCGCTGTGATTTATCCACTCACCTTTTACTCACTAGAAGCCCCCATGAATGTTTTCCATTCTTGGATGCTTACGTACATAAGAGCCATGAAACTATTTCTGGTCTTGATGCTCTTCCTCCACCGCGCCTCTTCTCAATTCATTTCTCTCATACTTTGTTACCCAATTCGATGATTACTTCTGGCTGCAAATTTGTTTACATTTGTCGCGACCCAAAGATGTTCTGGTTTCAAAGTGGTTGTTCTCCAACAAGTTGAGGTCCAAGGAGCTGCCACCCCTTTCGTTACAAGAGGCATTTGAGTTGTTTTGTCAAGGGATATCGCATTTTGGACCCTACTGGGATCATGTTTTAGGGTATTGGAAATGGAGCTTAGAAAACCCAGAAAAAATCTTGTTCTTGAAGTATGAGGACTTGAAGAAGGATCCCTCGGCTGTTGTTAAGAGATTAGCCGAATTTCTGGGAGTACCTTTTTCACTGGAGGAAGAGGATAAGGGAGTGGTCCAAGAAACAATAGGACTCTGTAGTTTTGAGACTTTGAGCAACTTGGAAGTCAACAAGACAAAGACACACAAATTCAAGAGTGATCTGGTTATGGATAACAACATCTTCTTCAGGAAAGGTCAAACTGGAGATTCCAAGAATCATTTAACAAATGAAATGATACAACATTTAGACAAGATAACACAAGAGAAGTTAGCTGGTTCTGGACTAACATTTGTTAGCTAAGCACAAGTTAATTTGTTGATTGATATGTGTCTTCTTTTCATCTATGTTTTCATAATTGTTATTCACTAGCAACAACGCTTCATGATATAAATGATTGTTGTTGGGGAAATTAGAGTGATCTAAAATAATTTTTATATTTATCCAGAACCTTTTTAATCGTAACATCTTACCCCATAATTATTTTTTCCTTTTTAAGTGTGAAAATGTATATTACCCATCCGTTACTATTAGAATTGAAATGAACATGCATGGCAATTGACAACAGCATATAAGGGTTGATGTGGTCACACATTATGAGTTTGTTTTTCATCTCAATTTTTTGACGATTTAAATCTTACCCTTTTTAACAAGAAATTATACACCAACCACTTAATTAATGATGTCATTCTCTTTATTCCTTCTCCGAATTCTCTTCATCTTATCTCTCTCTACTCCTCATCCCGTCATTCTTTTTGCGTATAAAATAATAACCCTATTGTAATTTGCAAAGCCATAATCCAACAACCTCTATTTATATTATATCTAATTATGTTTTTTTAATTATTTATTTAGAGAAGAGAGATCTAAATCAAGGTTCATATGCTAATCACTGAATCAAATTGATGGAGTATTAATTATAAAATAATCAGCAAAACTTCTAGATAGGGGGTGGTGCTTCCAACTAAATTGATGGAGTTCTCTCAACGTGATCATCGTGGGTGTGCTTTGCTGTTGGTGTGGCCAAACCCAATTAACCAGTTCAAGCAATTGCTAAGCTTGTCATCTTCAAGAAGACTTTTGGGGTTTCAGCTTCCTTCTCAATACTATTCTGAGCAACGACGCATCCAACAAAGATTCAACCAGCCTTTCTCGCTTAACTATCAATATTTTTTTGATTAATGCAACACTCATTTGACTTCAATTTCAACTTATTTTACAAACTTTCCAAACCTTTGGAGAGCTTATAATTTCTGGGATATTTTCAAGTTTTATGGTGAATTTTTATGTTTATATCCTTGCTAAAAGAAATTTCATATTAATTTGGAATAAAAATTGTGAAAGACCTTGATTGTAGTGAAAAGTCAACTGAGATGAAAAAGAAATTGATTCAAAGATTAGTTTAAAATGAGAAACACTAAAGCTTACACAAACACGTGTACAATAATTTAAGTTTATTTACTAGTTTTGTTTTTACTGTTATCATTTTATCTTTAGTAGATACTTAGTTTTTTACTAACTAATTTTCCCTCCTTTATAATAGACTCTTTTCCTTGTTTTTATTTTGTGTATAAAAAGACACTCATTCTGTGAATTTTTCATTAAATGAAATAATACAAAGAATTTTTTCCACAATGTTTTTCCCTCAAACTTCCACGATTTTTCTCATAGTATCAAAGCCATGTTCGAGGTAGGGGTTCTTAATTGCGAATCATCGTCAAACTTCCTTAAGGTTTGCAATCGAATTTGATTCATCTTATCTGCAGTGTAAATCTTGGGTTTTTCCATTGTTTCTTTAAAGATCTCATATTTGTTTCTCATAGATCTTGAATTGATATGGAGTGAACAAACGATTTTTACTTGAAGTTTCTATGGTTTTTTTTTTTTGGAATCTTGATTAGTTGATTTAGAAACATTGTCTTGATATTGAATTTTTTAGTATTTTATTAATGGTTAAAGATTCATAAACCATGGTGAATAATTCTTCAAATCCTAGGTCTAGTAATCCGCATCTAGAGGATCTTTAATCTCCTTTCTATGCGCATCAGATTGATAATCAAGGATCAGTTGTAGTTAATCCCAAGCTTACCTCCAGTAATTGTATTGCTTTGAATAGATCCTTTCTACTAGCCTTGTCCACAAGAAATAAAGTTAGTTTTCTTGATGGATCAATTCCTAAACCAAGCATGACAGATCCTTTATATGGATCATGGATTAGATACAATAATCTAATAGTTGCATGGCTTTTAAACTCTATTTCACCACCAATTGCCTCGACTATTTTATATATGGATAATGTTGTAAAAATTTAGGACACTCTTAAATAGAAATTTGCACAACCCGATGATACACATGTGTGCAATTTACAATACACTTTAGGTAATGTAAATCAAGGTATTAGAATTATGGATTCTTACTTTATCGAGTTGAAAGGTATTCGAGAAGAGTTAAGAAAATTTAAACCATTGCCACACTGTGAATGTGACAAATGTAATCCTACCTGTTTTAATAAGTATTCAAACCAATATAAAAAAGATATGAATTTTAGGTTTCTTAATAGGCTCAATGAATCATTTTCTTCATTAAGGTCCCAAATTATATCAATGGAACCCCTTCCGAAGCTAGACAAAGCATATAATACGGTTTTAAGGGAAGAATCTTAAAAGAGTTTACTATTTCAATCGAATCCAGCAATAGAATCATCAGCTATGATGCCCACTGTGGATAATAGGAAGAAAAACAAAGTAGAGTTGATTTGTAGTTATTGTGGAAAGAAGGGTATGAAAAAGAGAAGTGTTAAAGATTAATTGGATTTTCTGCAAATTTTAAGTTTACAAAAGGTAAAGGAAATTTCAAGAAATCTAAATCAACAGTGAATAATGCTTATACTATATCAAATACATTGGCTAGAAGTTCTATGCAAACTGATCAAGAAGAAGAGATTGTTGGTACAAACTCCATGTTTCAAATATTACTCATCAAGCATCGAGTTCAAAAATTGATGACACTTCTCAATGATAGTGGTATAAACAGTGAAGATTATCTTGAAAGCTCATCAAACACTCAGCATGCAAAACTCTCCTTGGTTAACTCAACTTTGGCAAGTATTATCTTTGGTTTTAATACTATAAATAACCTTCCACCTAATTATAAGAATGTGAATCAGTTCATGATTAAGCAAAATTCTTAGATTATGGATACTGGTGCTACTGATCACATATCATGCTCTTTATCTAGTTTTAGTTCTATTAAACCAATTAAGAATTGTTTTGTCCATCTACCAAACAATGTCAACGCTATAGTCATCACTCATAGAGGAACAATCAAATTGACTGCTTTATTGAATTTGAACAAAGTTTAATGTGTTCTTTCATTTCATTTTAATCTTGTATTAGTGACCAAACTCACCTCTCGTCAAAGGCTTCTATTCTTTTCACTGATAAACTTTTTATTATTCAGGATCTTTCTCATGAAAAGTGACTAGGATTGCTAAAGTGTCCTCAGGTTTATACTTCTTACAAGACTATCAAGATGAAAAATGTCTTTCTAAATTTAGTTTTGATAAGCTTGTACATTTTCCAATACAATCTTTTGTTAATGCTTGTAAAGCAATGTATAAACAATTTGGCTTATGGCATTTTGGATTAGGCCATATAACTTTAAACAAAATAAATGTCATTCATAAATAATGTCCTAACATCAATTGTTCAAAAGATTTGGTTTGTGACATTTGTCCTTATACAAAAATGAAAAGATTACCATTTCCTGTTCATATTAAGAATGCAATTTTTCCTTTTAAGCTTGTGCATACTAATGTATGTGGGCCTTATGTTGTTCCTACCATTAAGGGTCAACATTTTTTACCCACTTTGGTGAATGATTTTACACGTTTTACATGGATATTTTTAATAAGAAATAAGTCAGATGTATTATCTATATTACATTTTTTTCTAAGCATGCTAAAAATCAATTTTCAATTTCTATTAAATGTTTTAAAACAAATCATGGAGGAGAATTTAATCTCACTAACTTTTACGAAAAACACGATATTGTTCATCAATTGTCCTGTGTAGAAGTCTCTCATCAAAATGGGGTTATTGAGAGGAAGCACCAACATATATTTGTAGTAGCCAAAGCCTTAATGTTTCAATCCTCTTTACTTGTCTCTTTCGAGGAGAAGCAGTTCTTACTGCAACCCACATTGCTAATAGAATACCAACCAACATACTACATTAAAAATAACCTTATAAATTGCTTTGTTTAAAAATTCCTTGTTATGATCATTTTAGAGCATTCGGTTGCTTAAGTTTTGTGTCTACAATAACACAAAACAAGAATCAATTTTTTCATCAATTAAGTAAAGATAACCAAAACAAGAAAAATAATCAATGAAAGTAACAAAGTACTTGTTTCCACATAAGGTAGCTATAAAAGATCCACTAATAAAGATGTGCACAATTTTCAAAAGGTCCTTCTATGAGTTGCCCTTTTTTTCTTAGTTTTAGTCACTTTACCCCTTATGCAAACTACACAAGTGTCTAACTTTTCAAAATCAAGATAAGGTAAAAGGCCATCTTTTATTAATCTTTCAACTCTCATACTAGAAATGTGACCTACTCTTTTATGCCATAGCAGAGAAAAGTTTTCTTTCATAAAAGATCTTTTAAAAACAGTATTTTTAACATTATGCAACGATATTCATTATTAGGGACCAAGCATAACCTATATAGATTATCAACTAGCTTAAACTCTCCAATAACTTTAAAATTTAAAAGCAAGTCTAATTTTTCGTTAACAATGCCAAAATAATAACCAAGTTTATTCATAATAGAAATTGAGATCAAATTTCGTCTAAATGTCAATCTATGAAAAACATATTTCAAAACAAGTTCAAAACCAAACCCTAAATTTGAGCTAATGGTTCCTATATGACTGACATCTACTTTGGCATTATTTCCAACTCTAAGCTTAGTCTTTGTCTCACTTGGTTTGTATTTGCTTTTGAATCTCTGTAAAGTAATAGTAACATGAACAGTTGCATTACTATCAAGGTACCATGAATTTGGTGGTGCACTAACAAAATAGGATTCAAAACAAATTAGGACCAATGACTTACCTTCTTGTTTATTCTTTTTCTCTAACCAAGACTTATATTTAGGGCATTTAGTTTTCATGTGACCTTTTTCTTGCAAAAAAAACAACTAACATCTTTCTTTATGATTACTTTAGGACCTCCTACCCCTTTAGTTTAACCATTACCTTACCTTTTATTATCTTGAACTTGTTTAAGAACATTCGACACAAACTTCCTAAGTTTCTTAAGATTGATGGTAAGTAAGGCACTCTCACTCT